TGCCTGCCTGCCTGCCTGCCTGCCTGCCTGCCTGCCTGCCTGCCTGCCTGCCTGCCTGCCTGCCTGTGTCCTCTACAATTGACGTACAGTTTAATTTTCTGCGTTTTTTCTACCTACTAAAACCTGGGATATAACGGATGACTGAATGTTTTTGATGTTATTCTATCACATACTATGTGTTTATCGCATCCCAGGTTGGTTTACGTGTTGCACAATTGTTTGCCCCCCCCCTGCCTCCCGCTCTTAAACAGAAACAGGAGAATAGGGGAAAATGAACACATTTGACCCGGTTTGTAAAACTGCGATCACTTTCTTATCAGAGAAATACACATGCTAGCGAGAAAGATCAATACGAACTCACCCGAATAGACTGTCACCGCAGCCAAGAGGACTAGACACAGCAACAGTGGCCAACTTCCATTCCCCATCGCTGACTGAGAACCGGGTGACAGAGGTGGAGATCTCGCTTGATCTATACTGTGAATTCTACCAACAGTTCGGTCTAATTATTCTTCTGGGGACCAATCATGCGTGGTTGTCAATCGTATCACATTTATGCACACATATAGGTCTGAAATTCTTTTTCCACCGTTTTAGGCACAATCAAGCGCAGCGAGAGTTATGCGAAAAATGTGACTGAGTGCACAATGACCTGGAAGCAAAACCGGTGCGTACGCTTTCCAATCATCGGATTGTGCTTTCCTGTTGTGAATCAAACCAAGCGGCAGCTCCGCGGCGCCGACGCGAATTTCAAACGGGTTATTATCCGTTAGAATTCCATGTTTATTTCACCTGGCGTGCAAGACATGTGCAAAATCTCTGATGAAAGCTACCCTTGATCTGTTTTCCGCAAATCAATCTGAACGTATTTTCCGTTTCCTGTGATTTTCATATTGGGTCCTCTGACCACGTGACCATGGTAAATCCCCCTTCCAGGGTTTTCAGCTCACTGAAGCACACAGATGTATCTTTTTACCTGTTTCTGAGACCACAAACTTCGAAGGAAAAAACTTTAGACCCGATCGTATTATGCAACTCTGAGACATGGTTGCTTAGACAGATTTTTCTGCATTTTCTGACCCTGACATATCTGCTTTCTTAACTGATTATCTTAAATTCTATGGCGAAACCTGCTGTCCATGGAAAGCCCTCTAAATCCGATATAATCGTTTTTCTTTTCTCTATTCTGAAACAACTTTGATGATCCTGACATACATGACCGCATTCCAGGCACGACCAGTTACAGCTTCATGTCATCCAATCACCGTTCAGGAAGCTCGACCAATGGTACACCGGGCGAACATTACATCCGACTTAAAACACGTGAAGGTTCTGCACCAATGGTTACGTGATTGGATGCCGGTCCTTAAACTAATGAAGTGGCCTATCACCTTCTATAAAACATCCTCTAATTCTATCAATAAACATAAAGCATTAGCTGCTATCGATTCCTCGTGTATTTCATTGTTGTCCGCAATTCGGGCTGGAGCTAATTCAGTTCTGAGCATTACAGTACAGGTTCTCGCATTTCGATATTCAATACTATTCTGATTATCAAACAAATGCATCGAAAAAAGAACTCACGTTTAACTCTAAGGAATGTCGTTTGATGAAGACCCAATCAAAGTCCATTCAGATGAAAGTTCACCGCCTAAATTCGTTTATACTCAACGCATTCCTTCAA